CAAGCACTGTGCTATGTAATGAGGGAGTGTTCACATACTCTACTCATACCCCTGAAGTCTGGATATTTTGGGGGCTTCAGGGAAGCTGTCAGGATTCTTCCAACAAAAAGATACTGTCTAGCACTGCTGCCTTCCTTCTGACTTTCTACAACTTCCCGGATTCCCAGTGTGCTTTGCGTCTCTTTCCTGCTGCTTGATGTGATGCAATCTCATTTTCTGAAGACTGCACATCCCATCATGCATTGCTTCCAGAATGCAATGATAATGTTACATTGTTCAGACGTTGATTTGTAGGTCAGAAGACAGGCTCTGTGAGAGTGGTGATACAAGGAAGTGTCTATTCACAGGGCTGAGAGAAACTGTGTCAGTGCATGGAGGAAGTCCATCCTATGAGCATCTTCAGTAAGTAAGCTTCCACATTTCTAGATGGATATGGTTATAAGGAGTGGGGGAGAACGTTTTGAAATTCATGATAAAAATGCATTCTTAGATACCCTTTAGGAATCTGCACATATACTCTGGTAAACCATTTGTTGTTATTGTGGAAGAAAGCAGCCACACACATAAAACAATTGGAACTCACTAGGTCCTGGTTACTTTTGAAGGCTGGTTCTCATTCCCTGGTACTAGAGATGAACAATTTGCCGCTGGCCAGTCTAAGCCTGGCTACTCTGGCAATTAAATCCGTTGGCTACAGAGAGATTTAAAGAGTTAAGTAATGTAACCCCTTTAGTGGGTCTACCCCCACGCTGCAAGGGTTAACTGCTCATTTCACTCTAGGAACTGGATTAAAGCAGATATATGCACCTGATCTTCGGTCCCATCTGGCCGCTAGACCAGTCCCTGCAGCCACTTCTTCCCTGGGCTCCAGAGGTCTAAGCCTCACTGACATCATTGTGCGATTGCAGGTCCATGCCCCTGCATTAGAGGTGAGGGACATACCGCAGCTGGAGCAGAGGGAGAGAAAGGGAAGCGCTGACTGCCGCAGGACTAAGCATCAGGTAGGTATATCTGCTGTATTCTGGCCCCTAGACCAAGACAAGCAGTTAAACCGTTTGAATGGCACCCCAGCACACATGCACGGTACCGGGTGCGTCCCGAGTGTCACCCGGAGCAGAGACCAGGTGACACCACGCCGTGACATCATTGCACGCGCGATCATCTAATTGACTCCTGCCATCTTGGTGATGGACGCCGGCAGAGAGAGGAGGGGACGTTCACCCGGCGGGATGGGGTATGCCGCCGGGTCCCCTCCTCTCTCCTGACACTGTCGGGCTCAGTCCTAGACCTTTTTAGAGGGGGTGACACCAAAATGACTGTCAGTCATTTTGGTGTCACCCGGGTGCACCCCCCTTGTGATGCCACTGCACGGTACCCCAATACTGTGTATTGCAGTGAAAAATGTAGTACATGCGCTTCCTTTGCTTCCCCTGCACTGCTTGTAGCATGCATTGTGCTACGGTGCACGGTGGCCAGGAGGTGCGTTAGGGTGACATTCAAATGAATGGCAATGCAACACACCTAGTGTCCAGGAATACGCCAGGTGCGTTGTGCGGTAGCATGTGTCAATCACATATATTATAGAACACGCGGTATTGTACAATGTACGCAATGCTAGTGTGAATGGGCCCTTAACCCTGTGGGTGCCAGAGCCTTTCTTTTTTTCATTTTGCGCACACATAAAAAAAATGCATTTCTCTTGTTTATCAAATCTTTATTTTCCGTACAAATGAATTTTATTGCACAATATATTCTCTATTTTATTTTTGTAAAATATAAATGGGGTTCAAAATTGCGTGCGCCCGTGAAACAGTCATCAGAGGCAGCAGTGCCTTAGATCTCACACTGTATGAGGCTGAATGGAGGAGTGCCTGGGAACCCTCGCGTATCGTGACGCACTCTTAGTATTCAGAAGACAAAAGGTCGATATTTCAGGGCACAATGATCATTTCTAGATGTTCCCTATAATAGAGCAAACCTTCAAGTTCTGATGAAGGTCTACGCTAAAGGTGGCCATACACTCTACAACCATCGCAAGACCTTAGTCTTGCGATGGTTGTAAAGTGGTTAAAAAAAAACGTACGATCTGCCCATCTTGGACGGGCAGATCGCACTCTCGATCATCGCAAGCCACGCCCCCTGAGGGGCGGGCTTCCGATGACCGCAATGCTGAACGGGCAGTGCGCACACCGGCCCGTTCGGCATTTGTCTCCCGAGCACCGTTCTAACCAGCCGAAAATCGTACGATTCCCGGCTGGTTTTCTAGCGTGCTCCTTAGACAAAAGACGTGCGACCGTACAGTAGAAACGGTCGCACGTCTTCGTTCACACTGCACGATTCTCGTACGATCGCGTGATTTCCCGTGATTCTCGTACGAGAATCGAGCAGTGTATGGGCACCTTAAGACAGATGCCACAACACAGGTGTACACCTTGAATCATTCCCCCGTTCCGGTGACAGGTAAGATTTTTAGATTCCTCATCAGTTTGTGTTGGACGATGAAAGGTGATGAATGTCCTGACCCTCATGTCTGAATGCAAAGTGTTGGCTTTAGATCAGGGGTGGCCAAACTCCGGCCCTCCATCTGTGGTGGAACTACAAATCCCATCAGGCATTGCAAGATTCTCACAGCCGCAGACATGACTCCCGGAGAGAGATGCATCATGGGATTTGTAGTTTCACCACAGCTGGAGGGCCGGAGTTTGGCTACCCCTGTTTTAGATACACTCATCCAGGTGTGGGGAACCTCCGGCCCTCCAGCTGTGCTGAAACTACAAATCCCATGATGCATTTGTCTCTGGGAGTCATGTCTGTGAGAATCTTGCAATGCCTCATGGGATTTGTAGTTTCCCCACAGCTGGAGGTTCCCCACCCCTGCATCAAATACGTCATCAGTCCTGTACACTCATCATTCACGTTCTCATTGCCATTAATATATATCTCAAAGCAATTGTTTGTCCTATACTAGAACTAATGATCACCATTCATATGGGGGCGGCACAGGGACCACCATTCATATGGGGGAGGCACAGGGACCCCCATTCATATGGGGGCAGCACAGGGACCACCATTCATATGGGGGCAGCACATGGACCACCATTTATATATGGGCAGCACAGGGACCACCATTTATGAGGGCAGCACTGGGACCACCATTTATATGAGGGCAGCACAGGGACCACCATTTATATGAGGGCAGCACAGGGACCACCATTTATATAAGGGCAGCAGAATGACCACCATTGATATGATTGTGGAAGCAGGGGGCTGTGTGGGGACCTATCTGTACTGAGACCTGTCAGTACATTGTCACCCTACTGCTCATACTCAGGGACCAGTCCTGGACTGCTGTAAGATCCAGTACTCTCTATAATAATAGGCAGATCACAGTTGGATACCCTGTGTTAGAGGGGCACATCACCTCGAGTCTGCTGTATATGATGATGACCTCATTCTATATACAGGGCCATGTCTACATGACACATGACGCTGATCTATTATTGAGCTGTAGCCTACCTCCTCCCCGTTGCAATATCTGTCAAATAAACCGCTGTACACTTACATTGGATCTACAAGCACTTTTAATAGAGTAGGTGAGGGTTGGAACCTCAGTCATTTTTGTTTTGGCCATCTGTTTCTGTTTAGGCCTCATGCACAGGAACAAGGGGGTTGTACACGAAAACGGGGGTACTTCCCCACCTGGGGAGCCATAGGTGCTGTGTATAGCCTTCAATGGCTGTATGGGAGTATACAGCTGGACATATCTATATATACATTAATTCCTATTCATAGTTTGCACACACACACAGACATCTCCCCTGAACACAGACCACCCATCCTATAGACTGGCCAGACAGTGAGAGGAGATTCTTCCAATGTGAAGCAAATCCCCTTTTATACTGTTGTCCCCAGTGAGAGATTTCCTCTATATTCCTGTTCTGGTGACAATTCTGATTTTTGGAACCCCTCTCACTCTCATTGCAGGTGACATTGGTGATCAGGACAACTGAAGAGCGACTCTCTCCAATGGGGACACAGACTAATAAAAACCTGAAAGAAGTTCTAACCTCTCACCGCAATGGAAATCTATAACACAAGTTTGCCTTTAGTTATTCTTTATAGGCTGGAGATCCTCTGCTGTTCATAAATCATTGTATGATACATTGTGATTGGGGTGCTGTCCATTCTCTCTTATGGGTCACAGGCTGTAGTATATCAATGTAATGATCTGCAGGAAATCACAGATGGCTCTGCATGATCAGTAGGCACTTCCTATGAAGACATACCAGAGTACAGGGGGCCAAGATCAGCCTGCACACAGATCCCTGCATCCTATGACTATATAACTGATGTAGAACTACTAGTCCCAGCACACCCCGTCAGCCTCCCATAGGACTAGAGGGATGGCTGGCATAGCATGCTGGGACTTCTGGTCCCCCGGGCGCTTTCCCGTACTCACGATCACGCAATGTGTAGAGAAAGCCCATCGGGTGATGTTCAGGACACCGTGCACACAGCGGGGGTCCGGAGTGGGCATAGATTTCAATTCGCAGATTTCCCTGCCTAGTCTGATCATTGTGCGCGTTCACGAGAGCCCGGGCAATGTACGGATAAAGGTGTAAAATTGAAGGGCTTTGAAGACGGCTGCAGGGTGTGGATGGGGGTGAGCCTGTGTACGGGTCCCGCCTGGACGTACGGTGCCCGTCCAGCAGCACGCCATAGCCCCATAGCGCAGACAAGCCCTCGGTCCTCCGTTCTCTAGGTTGGGTGATGCGGTCTATGGCAGCCTTGCATTGCAAACACTATAACTCAGCCTTCCAGCTGCATCCCGACTGAGCGCCTCGCACACACACAAGACACTTCGAATTTGCGCGCTGTTTTGCTCCCGTGTGACGTCAGCGAAATGTCGTCCAATGGCGGTCGGCCGCTGGTCAGGACAATGGAGCCGAGCCGGCCAATCGCGCAAAGGGACTGGTTGGCGGCGGCCAATCAGCGCCGGGCTGAGCTGAGAGTAATGTTACAGATTGGGAGAGTGAAGAGGCTGCGTATCGATCCCGCTTTCTCTCACAGCCATTGCAGTACATTGAGCTCCATAGACACAGCATTGGGTGAGTACACGGCGCTTCGCCTGACAGGGACTGGCTATGTCTATGTGACTGAAAGCAGTGGGTAAGTATCGCACAGGGACGTCAGTCAGCCCGCCAATTAGTCTGTTTTAAGCCGCCCGACGGCCTCGATGATCTCGGCGGCGGTGAAAAAGGGAAAGCAGTAGGGGGATTATATTTAAAAAAAAAATAAAACGGCGATTATTAAAGTGGGGAGACGGACGGGTAGAATCGGCCAGAAAAAAATATCTTTATTCTACACACTATGACGTCACGGTCACCTCACACAAGGAATGGCCGCGACGGTCTAATTCAAGAAAAGTGAGAACGGAACTTTGCGTGTCATGTGACCCCCAGACACCGAGAGCACGGGCACTGCCACCCGTGTCCTGCTCTTTATGTGAAGTGTCGGGGCGTATGGGCACCTCGGTTACCTGAGGAAATATTCTGCTGTAACATGGCTGACTATGGGGAAAAACAAGGTTGGGGGGTGGTGAGAAGGGTGGCGGCGGGCATACACTGCCCGTTTTCAGGGCTTTACACCTTCCCCGAGACCCCCCCAGTGCGGCTTTAGCCGGCCACCACTTCTCTCTACGAGATGGCGGTTGCGAGCCGCACTCTCTAACATGGTGGTTTTACAAGCGCGGGCACGACAAACAATAGTCAGAAAAGGGCGGCGCGCTCCCGCGGCCGCCATTCCGAGAAGCAGAGCGCGCGCACGCACATAGGCGCGCTGCCTCAGCCTTTCTCTCTAGCCCCGCAGTGTAATGTCTGCGTGTAATGTGGGGAGCATAGAAAGAGACACATAACACGGACACAGAGTCCCTCCACCGCCATCCGCCACACCTCAGCGAGGCCATGGCATGGCTGCCGGAGACATTTCAAGGGGACTTTCTTTCATCGGGAAGCTGCTCTTTCAAGATGGAAGGAGAAAATCTGTCATTGTTGACCTTTTTTTTTTTTTTTCCCTCTCTCCCTCCCTCCTCCTCCTTCTCCTTTCTGGAGCTGCGCCATCGCTTGACTAACAGGAGGACGTGCTGCTTCCATGTGACATGACCGAGCCGACTCGAGTGACAGCTGCATGTTGCCTATAGCAACGCCATTTGTGTAGTGGGAGGAGCCTGGTTGCTACAGGCCAATGAGCTCAACCAGCATCCAGTGCAGTATAGCACCAATAAGTCCCAGCACAGCCTTCAGGCAAGGGGATATGCTGCCTGGGATTAGTAGTCCATCAAAGGGTAGTGATTGGGGGGTTGGGATAGTTATAATGGAACTACAAGACCCAGTGTGCTTTGACCTGCCCCTTAACATTGCCTACATCTAACTGGCAGCTCAGTATTCAAGGAAAACTGTCATGCTGGTCCTCTTGCTTCAGCGCTCTAAGTCACTGATCCACAATACGTGCACAGATGTCGATCTCTGCCTTTCTCAGTCTACGCTCACACCGCCACTGCTACGGTTTACATTATTTAAAACGCAAGAATAGTTATTTGGGAAGTATAGACAAACTTTATGCTTCTAGAGCAAGTCCTCCTGTGTTTAGATGTTCGTTCCTTTACCCCATTTATACCGGTGTTCCTGTTTTTACGGATCGGGCAGCCTATTCATTGCAATAGCCATCACACCAAAGTACTTCCTGCGCCTTTTAAAAAAAAATTATTTCCTCAAAACAGATGAGGGGAATTTATCAATATCTGGAGCAGCTGCGCACGGCAACCAATCAGCTTCTCTTTCATTTGTTCATTAAGTTATACAAATGAAAGAGAAGCTGACTGGTTGCCATGGACAACTGCTCCAGTTTTGATTTCCCTCAAAGTAGATTGCCAATTGTTTTGGTGCAGTCATGCGGATTGGGGTACCGATAATGAATGGCACAACGTCTTACAAAGTGATGTGCTGGACACAGATATGCGCAGGGGCCAAGTTCACACTTGTGTGAGTTGAAGCGCTTCAGCTGTTGTGTGACAATGCACAATAAGAGGAATCCCATTATTTTCTATGGGGCCATGTGACTTCTTTTGGCATGATATAGTGTATTTTTAGACTTCAATGGTAATGCTTTAAAACCATATGTAATGTGCACTTTAGCGCACAACCACAAGCCCTTACCCCTTGGCTAGAAAAAAAACTGTATAAAACACATTAAGAACACACAACTAAAAAAAGCAAGAAAATGCACACACAAGCGTGAATTACCTACATGCATTCAGAATATGTCATCTGCCCCTGGACCCGCATAGAAACACACAGCTCTAATGATACCATTTACAATCTCTCCATGCATGGATATGTATTTAGAAATGGCCTGGACATGAGTTTGTCAATGGCAGTGTGAATGAGGCCACTCACAGGACAGTGACAGCGGTGGTCAGAGATGGATTGGTTATGACAGGTTTACTTTAAACGGCTGCTGACCATTCTGCTGTTTAGGCAACTCCAGCACATGTCCTTACATCTTAGCACGGGGGAGTCCTCAGTTCCACAGCAGCTGGGAAGAAGTCGGCTTGCCGTGGTGTACATACACTCCATAGACTTCCTGCATGAGGTCTCCTTGTATCCCATGTGGTACATCACGGGTTGCAGCTAGGGATGAGTAACATTTGAACTATTCCAAACACACCACATTCCCAGGAACACAATTTGCTCTTTTCCCAGCTCACAGATCCGCCTTTTCATTCTTTTGTTCAAATCTTGTCTACACTCTTAGATGAAATGTTCCCATATCACAGATTCCCCCCCACCACCCGACACCTTTAATGCAGAGGCTCATCGTCAGTCATTCACACTAGATGAAAGAACTTTCTGTTCTACAAACAAATCTGAAAACGAAGTTCACTTGATTTATTCTCTACAAGGTGCAATTTTAAAACTGGAACTCTGGCTGAGGATATTGCATATTACCCGGAAGCAGTTCTCTACATTTACTATATTGCTGTAAAGTTCAGCAGTCAATCCGTACATTACACCAGAAGGATACATGCCTGCAAGGATTGCCTTTACATAGCTGAAGACCAGTGTGTCCTGGCAGCATTTACAGAGTCGGCTGACATCACATTGTTCTGTTTGTGGTGAGAATAACTGACATTTTTCTAGCAGAGGTGTAATAGCTTCATTTTGATGTTCATATCGCATGAATAAAAGGGTGATGGTCTCCTGCCCCATAGAAGAAGGTCCACAGAACTGTCTTTATTAGATCCGTAGGTCTGCCCCAAGATGCTCCATGTAGCTCTTCTTTTTTTTTTTTTTTATAAGAACGTTATATATATATATATATATATATATATATATATATATATATATATATATATATATATATATATATATATATATATATATACTGTAACACATTTTATGTATAATTGCAACACTACTACGGAGCATAAAAAGTATCCACCTGACACCAGCTTAGTAAAGCTTCATATGAACAGAAAGTACCATACGGGGGATTTATTAAAACTGGAGCAGTTGCTCCTGGCAACCAATCGGTTCTCTTCAGTTTGTTCAGTTAAGCTTCGGAACTGAAATCTAGAGGCTGATTGGTTACTATGGGCAACTGCTCCAGATTCTGTTACTCCAGTTTTCTTAAATTCCCCTCAAGGATTTCTAAATAGGACCATACTTGACCATTATTTATTTTCTTGCTTAAATAAGCTTCTTAGTGTTTCTGCTTTAGAGCTTGTTCACACCAAATGCAGACCAGTTTCTGCACACGCAGTGTATTTTGATGCGTTCCGGGCCGTTTTTTTGTAAAATAAATATATTTTTTAGCCTAAAATGGGCTTCTAGGGCGTTTCCATGCATTTTGGTGCGTCCCAGAGCAGAAATTTTAGGGCATGCTGCATTTTTGTACATGCTCTGGTGTGAACTAGAGCACAAAATACCATTGGACGCAGTGTTGATCTGTTCTGTAACTGCCCTGCATCTGCTCCGCACTTGGTGTGAACTAGCCCTTAAGCACACTCGTTTATTTGCTTCACTACTAATACTTGCATCCAGGCTTGTCCAAGCTCTCCGGAGAAGCATTTATAGAAGGCATTCAGTGATACACATGTTGTGTATTTGTTTTTAGCCTAGAAGATCTCAGAAAACCATAAATAACATGGGGGACGGTCACATTCTGCATTGAATAAACATGCAGCAGGCCAATGCACACAATGTTATTTGTGTCTGATGATTTCATAATTCTACGTACCTGAAAAGAACAAATATCCAATCCAGCTTCTGGTATTCTTCACCTGACAAAACAAATGCATCTACTTCACATGACTTTATTACACACATTGCCTGTTCATGTTTTTCCTTACTGCTATTATTCTAATATAGGAATATGATTTTCCGGTCTGATATAAGCCTAAAAACAAAACATTATCCACGGGAGGAGAACTGCAGAAGTGACTTTATGATTATAAATACATTATTTGATTAGTACCCAGTCAGGTTTTAATGTAGCTTCTAGGTATGTTGTCTTGAAGCAATTGCTGTCTTTCCCATGACAACTGTTTCCATCTGTTCTTCTCGGGGCACATCTTACTCGTACTGCTTTAGGAGTGCATGCTCTATAAGATGGGCACACCAAGTGAGCGGCGTTAACGCTAGTCCATTATGGAGGTTGCTGTCCAGGGATAGTATGCACCAGTTTTCAGGAAGAAAGACACTTGTATTTGTGTATATTATCACTTGGCTGCAGTGTATGAAGCCACATTCATGGAAATACGTGGGTATTGTTTTTTTAAAGTAACACTAAATCTGAGCGTTACATTTTACAAATGCATTCAAGTACCTTAACTATTAAAATAAACATCTTATTTGTGTAGCACTCGGTTATAGATCCTCAAATCATCCCTGAGTTGGTGGTGACACTGTCTTTTCTTCTGGAGGGGGGCTACTTTTGTCCCCCATGGTCCCTGTGTGTATTGTAAAGTAGCCACCGCTCCAAGCTCACTCCTGTGATGAACTACAATCTCACGTTTAGTTTACTAATTTGTATTGAGATTGTAGTATATCACAGGAGTGAGCTTGGAGTGGTGTCTACGTTACAATGCACACACAGGGACCATGGGGAACCAAAGTAGTCACCCTCCAGAAGGAAGGACATGTCTACATGGATCTACAGCCGAGTGATACACAAATAAGATTTTTGTTATATTTGAGGTACTTGAATGTTTTTTAAGATATTTAACTCCTGAGATAAGCGTCACTTTATCTTTTCTGCAGAGTGCCCTTTAGAGGAACGCTCTTATACATACACACAGGTCCACCGGTGCACTAAAAACTCGCACTTCCCAAAATTCAGGGGAAGAACTGTAGTCTAAAAAGGGAACCAAAAAAAATAGGTCAGTTGATGAATTTACAAAAATCTAGATGGGTAAAGAGCGAACGCTTGGCCAAAGCATGAAGAATTAATGTCCTGTCCTTTTGCTTTTAAATGCATACCTGGCCGTCCACATTTTCTGGGATCTATGATCAGGGATTGACTATGGATCAGAATCTTATATAGAATTGTGACATGCATACATTGTTGGTTTTTTTGCACACGGCTTGTCCTGTTCTGCTACATTTGAACTGCTTTCATTCCTCTGTACAAGTCAAAGGGAATACAGTGTGAAAATCATCATATCCTCGTATTAAGCCATTTTCACCGACTTCGAATAAAAGCAAGCTATGTTCTGGCTGATTCTGAGTGTGACGCACCTGTACACAAGAAAAGAAATAGACACCGGCACTCCAATAATAAATCGATTACGTCTATTTATTGACGTACATCAAAAGCAAAATAACACACTTAGGGTTCCTGTGTGTCCCCGAAACGTCGCACTAAGTGTGTTATTTTGCTTTTGATGTACGTCAATAAATAGACGTAATCGATTTATTATTGGAGTGCCGGTGTCTATTTCTTTTCTGCATTACTTTGACGGTGGCCATCCGTCGACTACTGAGCACCCAGGATACTTTGTTGGACGTGCGGTCAGGAGTGCAATGGGTACATGGACTGGCACCTGTACACAAAGCACCTATGATGTGATCAGGGATACGGGGTAGAAAAGGTATTTCCATATGTAATAATGGAGGTGTTTTTCTGTATATTTACAGAAATCTAACAAAATGGGGAAAGGTGATCCAAAGAAACCAAGAGGAAAGATGTCCTCTTATGCTTACTTTGTGCAAACTTGCAGAGAAGAGCACAAGAAAAAGCACCCAGATGCATCTGTAAACTTTGCCGAGTTCTCCAAGAAGTGCTCCGAGCGATGGAAGGTAATGGTTCTTGAATCATCCACAAGTATGTTCTAGGTTGGTTTTTTTGCATGCTCTGTATTTTTCTACATATGCTGTGCATGCTAGGTTATGTAATCTGGTTATACAAGGGAAACTATCAAAAGCTTTGAGCATGCTTACTCGCCATGTCAGGTAACTACTAGAAGGAGCCAGGAAATAATGTTTCCATTGACAGCCATAGAAACCACTTCAAAAAGCCAGACATGCATTTTTATATTTCAGTTGCATTGTGTACCAGCTTTCTGAGATTTGTTCAGTTCAAACGTTTCAATATCCACATATATAGAACTTCTCTTTACCTTCAGATATGTGCATTGTATTGTCTCATTAAGCTTCACATCTCACCTGTTCTTGGCTTGCTTATCAGGGCAAAGCATAAAGGTGGCCATACACTTTACAACCCTCGCAAGACTTTTGTCTTGCGAGGGTTGTAAAGTAATTTAAAAAACGTACAATCTGCCCATCTTGGAGAGGCAGATTGTACTTGCGATCATCGCAAGCCTGCCCCCCTGAGGGGCGGGCTTCCGATGACTACAATGAGGGGCGTGCTTCCGATGACTGCAATGCTGAACGGGCAGTGTGCGCGTGTGCACACCGGCCCGTTTGGCAGTTCTCTCTCGATCATGCTGAAAACCAGCCGAAAATCGTACGATTCTCGGCTGGTTTTCCAACATGCTTGAAATGCAAAAGTCGTGCGACCGTACAGTAGAAACGGTTGCACACCTTCCATACACGGCACGATTATCGTACGATTGCGGGATTTCCTGCGATTCTCGTACAAGAATTGTGCAGTGTATGGGCACCTTAAGGCTCCTTTTATATATTAGATAATTGCCTAGCAGGTAAATTACCATGGCATTAAATGTGGGCATGACCTTTTATATTGCTCAGCCCTTCAGTATATAGACAGCGGTCTCATCCACTGGATCTTATGGTTCAGGGAAATCTGTCCTGAAACAAATGACCTATGTGAGAAGCTGCAGATAAGATCTGACACTACTGATATTGGTTCCAGGGCAGTGTCGTTGTCCAGTTCTCCTGTGAGAAACATCACTGCCCTGGGGTTGGTATTCTGTTCAGAGAATAGCAGCTTCCATGTGAGGTTTCTCTCATAGGTGCTTTACTTTGCTACAGATTTTGGCAACTGGAGGAAAGAGAAGCATCTGCTGTGCACACGATCAAGACCTTTTGTTTACAGCATTTTTTGTTATCGGTTTATTTTTGGATATAAGCTTAATTTTTATTAAATGAGAACTATGGGGTTAAGTATTTTCCCCATAGTTCTCCTTAGGGTAACGGGAGGACACAAACTAGCGTCCTCCCGTTACCCTAGGCTCAGTATGCCGCGAGCTGTAGCTCCCGGTATACTGAGACGCTACAGCTGAAGCGGATCCTGACAATTATGTCGGGATCCACCCAGCTGCGTGACTGACAGCTGACTCTGCCTATCTAGAGGCAGAGCCAGCTGTACCCTCCCCCGTCCGTTCCGCCAGTCAGCGCTATCGGAGCGGGGAATCCAGCCCCTCCCCTGTCACAGCAGAGAGCTGTGACAGGATCGAGAGGTGAGCGAACGCAGGTATGTTGTTCGCTCACCTCCCGATCTACTAAGCCGACCTGTGACAGTCTCATTGTCACAGGTCGGCTAGAACTATGAGGCTAGTGAAAAGCACTCCCTTCATTGTTCTCCTTTAACGTGTTCTCTAGGCTATAGGGGGAAAAACGCAAAATTGCTGTATGTGCACTGTGCTCTTTGCATATAGGATGTTATTGCCATCTGAACCCTGAATGAGGTGATAATAAATGACCTTAAAGGTTCGGTAAAACGAAACAATGCATTTCACTAGCAGGATAGGCATGTTTGTGTGTCAGTGAAGACGTGAACATACATTCAGGGATGACTGGCATTAAGGGCACCTCTTAGCTGTGGTGTGTTCCGGTACTAAAACATACGTCACAGAATCTTGACATGTGTTCGCATGACGTGGTGCCATTTTATTTTTTTAGGCAGCTTCAAATGTTTTCATAGATATTTTGATTTAAGAGCAGAAAAAGTGTAACTGAATCTAAAAAAAAATGTTTACAGAGGGAGAAAAAAATATCTTATTGTGTCCAATCATTCTACATTGACATGTAATACTCATGTTCCTGATGAGATGTATATCTGACAATTCTTCTTGTATTGTGGCGCCCATACACGGGTATGAAAATGTTAGATCTTCACGTTGGCACTCTTCTGTCATTTGTAACAAGAAACATTACATGTCAGCACAGGGGTGATTATGAGCAAAACGACAGTACAGCTGAATGTAGCCTTACGTTTATAAAATTCAATGACTTCCTTATAAAATTGTAATTCTGCTTTGCAGGACACTTATCTGCATGGAGTTTGCATGTTCTCCCTGTGCTTGTGTGGATTTCCTCACGGTACTCTGGGTTCCTCCCACACTCCAAAGACATGCTGGAAGGTTATTTGGCTCCTGTGTAAATTGGCCCTGTATGTATGCATGTGATATAGGGGCCTTAGATTGTAAGCTCCTTGAGGGCAGGGGCTGAGGTGAATGTAAAGCACTGTATACCCATAATAAATATTATAAAATTCAACATTTCCATACCTGTGTATTTATTTTGTTTTCTTATAATGTGTTTTGTCTTCCAGACCATGTCCGCTAAGGAAAAGGGCAAGTTTGAAGATATGGCTAAAGTAGATAAAGTCCGGTATGAAAAAGAAATGAAAACTTATATACCACCCAAAGGAGAATCCAAAAAGAAGTTCAAGGACCCAAATGCACCAAAGAGACCACCGTGAGTTCTGCTGCTGTGGATAGCATTCTATAAGCTGTGGAAAGGAAAGCCGTCCATGTTTTACAGCAGCCAGTTAAATGTTTGCTTGCATATTTAGCTGTAATGTGATTGGTTGATATTGCCATCACAGACAGTGTTCTTTATCACAGACTCAGTCATTGAATCCAGGGTGTTTTCCAATGACATATTGTTTTATTTTGCTGTGCCTTGGCATTCATTAACAAATGTTATACTTTATTATTAGGTGAAGGGGGGTCTGGTTGTAGGGCTGATTGCACATTACGGCAATTCATCTTTTTATTGCAGATCGGCTTTCTTCCTGTTCTGTTCTGAATTCCGTCCTAAAATCAAAGGTGAGCACCCGGGTTTGACCATCGGAGATGTGGCAAAGAAACTAGGAGAGATGTGGAATAACACCGCATCTGAAGACAAGGTGCCTTATGAAAAGAAAGCTGCCAAACTGAAGGAGAAATATGAAAAGGTAATTTCATCCCAAATATCACTTTCCTAAAACTAAACAACGGTTTCATGGTTTCACACACATTGCCAGTTTGATTCCAATTCTATTACAAATAGTTACAGATGTTCAGACTAATGAGGAAACAAAACAATTATTTGCATTCAAATCACGGAGAACTTGCAGTGCAGAATTGACCACATTCTAGAAGAATAACCCCGTGATTTCCCTCTCTCTCGGTGTCTGTACTTTCTTTTGATAAGATGAAAAAGAAAAGCAGATCATGCAATAGCAGGAAATTACTATTTTCCCTTAAAATGTCAGACGAGACCTCTGAGAGTCTGTAGTTAACAAAGCACATAGTACTAATCACGTTTCTGATCCATCCACTTAGAACAATTCTACATGATTGCAGTTTCCAAATGTGGAAGAATTTGCCTTTCTATGTTGGACATCCCTGTCCATCTCTAGACGTTATCACCAACATGTTCTGCAGCATTACAGCGCACAATAATGCATTGCCTCCTACAGTCTCATGTCCCGGTAAAGCAAGCCTTGTACAGTGCTTTATTTCGTATAATCCATGATCTGATGGCATACAAACCTGGTGAACTGTCACCCACAGTAGCTGTGACTGGCTATGGATCCTTTTATTTCCCCCTTTTTCTATACACTTTGTATGTGATTTTCCTTCATTGGTTTTGTGCAGAAGGTGGCACTGTCTTACCAAGATCATTTTCCTTCTCAATAAGTGAGGATCGCTGCCTTTTTGGAGGATTTTCCCAGCTGAGTACACACATAGAGTAGAACGATAGGCAGAGCTTCTATCTCGCACATGTCAAACTGGCATTTTGGGGGCCAGTCTGAGGGTCCTAGCTAATGCTCTTTTACAGCCACTGTCACTGGCTTTTGTAACACTGCAGTGGCACACTTGTTTTGGAGGTTAAAGCTTAACCCATACAGCTTTTAGAGACTGGACTTTCCTTGGTGTAATATACTGAATGAAAGTCTGATTATATAATGACTGATTTCCAGATAGGCGGGAGATTAACTTTATAACCACTTTCCCTAATGCTGGCTTTACATGCTTGCGTTGCAGTGCATGGTATTGCATACCTGTAGGTGTGAATGGATCCATATCATTAGGGCTGCAACAACTAATCGACATAATCGATTATTGGAAAAGTTGTCAACTTTTTCAATCATCGATTAATCGGCTTCCGATTGGTTGGCCCTGTTCACGGCTCCACACGCTGCACGCCACACCTCCTCCCCACCTCATGCTCGCTGCTGCCAGACCCGCCCGGCCGCATCCACACGCCGCACCTCCTCGCACTCACCGCCCGCATCCACGATCGGCACAGGGACGCGGGGAGAAAAAGTAAGGAGGAGCAGGTGTGGGGGATGACAGCTGCCGATAGACAGACCCGATCTCAGAAGCAAGTTGCTGGAAGACTGCTCGGGTAAGCCTGCACTTTCCGCCCACATGGTTCCTTATAATGTATTGCTGGGATAGTGGGATTAGTATTCCTCTATAGCTGATGGTACATTCTGCTGTACTGTATATTATACAGAGCAATATACCATCAGCAATAGAGGAATACAAATCCCAGCAATACATTTGTATGTATAATGTATTGCTGGGATTTGTTGTATTCCTATAAAGCTGGTGGTATTCTGTATTGCGCTGTATAGAGGTGTACAAAACCCAGCAATAGTACATTATACAGCGCAATGCAGAATACCACCAGCTATAGAGGAATACAACAAATCCCAGCAATAGTACATTATACAGCGCAATGCAGAATACCAACAGCTATAGAGGACTACAAAACCCAGCAATAGTACATTATAGCTGGCGGTATTCTGCATTGTGCTGTATAATGTACTATAGCTGGGATTTGTAGTCCTCTATAGCCGATGCCATTCTGCATTCATTGCTGTATAATTTTACACTTTTCATTTCACTATATTGCACGCCACACTTTTTTTCTTTTTTACTTCCACCGCTCCAAGCTTGCTCCTGTGATGGACTAAATCTCAATACAAACTAGTAGTCCCATCACTGGAGCCATTTTTTAAACTTTTTTTTTTCTTCGATTAATCAAACTCAATAATCGGCTAACCGATTTTGAAAATAATAGTTAGCTGCAGCTCTACATATCATCTTCCTTACCTTTTCAATAAACTGCAGCGCATAGATGTGAATGGGATTTCTGCTTGACAGGTGTTTCAATGTAGAAAAATGTGTGAGTTTTGCTGCATAAAAACATGAAGAGACGCTTGAGGTCTATTCATACTTGTCTATTTTCATGCAGAAAAACTCATTCTAGTTGTTGCATAAACATGCACTTCCAGCGGATATCCTATTCTTTCCTATGGGGCCCATTCACAGTGGTCTAAGGTAGACTACAGGCCTATTCACACCTACCCATGTGTGTGTATTACCACGTGCACGGTGGGCTTATTCGCACCTACCCATGTGTTTTACCACGTGCACTGGGGCGCACACAGGACCAGTGTGAAGTGCATTTAAAGTGATTAGTGTTGTTCTATATGTACTCAGGCAATGCTTCCCTATATACATGTGTGACTGACTAGGTCAGAAAGATCTTTTTTTGCCCCCTTTATCAGTGTTCCTTTTTTAAACTAATTTTGAAGGCAAATGACTTTTGTTTTAAGATCTATTTTTAACAATATTCCCCAAAATGCTGCATTCTGTATTTTATTTCTGTATTTATTGTTGCAAACTTCAGTGCATGTTTCTCAGATCCCATGCCACTATTCTGGAGTTTCCCTGCTCAGTTTGTCACTTTTTCATTTGTTATGCCCGATGTGTTGTACCTGCGCTCTTCCACGCTTCCTTTCCTCGTGTGCTCAGATATAAAACATTCTATTTTATTAATGGATGTCTGCTTTAATCTCACTCCATAGGATGTTGCAGCATATCGGGCCAAAGGAAAGCCCGAAGCACCCAAAAAGGCACCGCCTAAACCTGAAAAGAGCAAGAAAATGGAGGATGATGATGATGATGACGAGGATGATGAAGATGAGGAGGACGAGGAAGATGAAGATGATGATGAAGATGATGAGTAAACCTCCCCAGGAGCAGTTTTGTCTATATAGCATTTAAACCCCCTGTACACAGCTCTCATTTTTTTAAAGAAAACAAAAACAAATCAAAATATAAGGATGTGTAAGATTTGTTTTTAATCTGTACAGTGCCCTCCCCTCCCGCCACGTTTTTTTTTCTTTTGTATTGTTAACACACTACCAAAACGTATCTTTGACGGCCCTGTCTTTTAAGTGGTTTTCAATTGCCACTAACCTTGCCTGGTACAGTAAGGGGGTTGTAAATTGGCATGGAAATTTCAGCAGGCTCATGTTGGTGCACAGTTTAGTTTATATGGGGATGTAGTTCATTTTTCATCTTCAGTTGTCTTAGCATCATCATCATCATCATTTGTTGTTCTGTTTAACTGATACCACTCTGTAAGTGCAAGAAAAATTGCAAATGTTTTGTTGGCATTCTGATTGCTTCGAAGTAAATACAAATTTTTTTTTTATTACCAGTGTTGTTTATTTCAGAGCTCAGTACTTGGTCCGTGTTCTGTCATCTACTTGCTGAATTCATGATCACACGTGTTCTTGTTACATTTTAACAACCCTCACTGTCAGGTGCTGGGAGTTTTGGTTGTAGAGGATTTTATCTTGTCGAGTTAAATATTTTGCTTATTTTATGTGAACTTGATTATCCGAATAATACTTCCTAAAGTGACGTATCATGGGTGTTGTGAATTGTTTCTTCATCATGTAAGTGTGGAAATCAAACATGCGTTTTTGGGAGAATCGCATTTTATCTGACAGGTGTAAGGCAAACGGTCACATGACTCGATCCTAACACCTAATATTGTCTCAGTTTATTGAATTACACTTTAGGAAGCAGTTTAGACCAGTGGTTCTCAACCTGTGTAACCTCAGGACCCATGTTTGTCCTTGGTCATTAAGTCACAACCCAAGTTGCACCGCACTGGAATGCGCACCATTGCGGTACCAGATGTTCCGCTGCGGGTGATCAAACTGTGGGTGGTAGTTGCGTCTGGGGAGCCATTCACAAGACTGGCAATGCACCTCCCGCACCAGAACGCGTGGTAGTGCTGATTGCATGGTACAGTGCGTTAATCACACGGGACTGCAGTGAACGGACCCTCAAAACACTGACAGACACACAAATCTCAGACATTCTCCAAAAAACATTTTCTATTTTTAAGATCCACTCCCCACCTTGTGAGAACTGGAGAGGGATCCTCAGCCTGGGGTCCAGTGTGGGCTGCTGTGCTGTGATGGAGCTTTATCCATATGTGCATTGCTTGTACAGCTCCCTAGAGGTGGCGGGAGCCAGAATGTGACGTCACTCTGATCTAGGGAACCTCTACAGGGCATGCAAGAGAGCTGTAAGCAATGCAGATATGGATGGAGCTCCCTCGTGGCCATACCCTCAGCCCTCCTCACCTCAAGCTGACACTCGGCAGCAGGCAGTATATTCTGAATGGCTGCTTGGTGTGAGAACTGAGTGCTGCACTAGAGGGAGGCTGAGGAGCCTCTCACGTAGTGCCATGGCGACCCACTGGTTGAGAACCAAGGGTTTAGGCAGAATTAGGTCTGTGTATATCTTATAAATCTGCACAAACATTTTAGTGCTGGAGATGAGGTTCTTAAACATTTCATGGTTACTTGCCTCCGTAACTACATCATGTCAAAAACATATTCTAGTCACACATTGGCTTGAAAATTATTTAAACAATCTGGTCAAAGTGCATAGAAAGGTTTGTAAGCGTAGTTCTATTCTGGTGTTAAAGCTCTTCAGCTGAAGAGAGAGGCAGTTCAGGAACAGCCCGGCTTTACATCATCCATGCACAATAACACACCTTGAACATTGCAGTGCCATTTATTGTGAATGATACTTCAATGCAATAGAGCGATGTTCCTGCCTTGCGGTACATGGCAATACACGCTAACACTATCACATGGTTCCTTGCCAAGAAAGCACCAGGTCCACTTGATGAATGAGAAAGCACCACAAAGGTGTGAAGCAAGCCTAAGGCTACATTCACACTAAGTGCGTTTAAAATGGTTTTCTAAACACGTATGCATCTAATGATTTCCAACGGATCTATTCACACATTGCATTTAGATGCTTTTATCTTCAGTCAGTTTAGCTGCAAGTCGGGTGTATCCAGGAACTGACCACTCCTTACCATCTTGTCTTGAATTGTATTGTGATTGTAATGTCTTCCCTATATTGTAAAGCGCTGCGCAAACTGTTGGCGCTATATAAATCCTGTATAATAATTGCAGGTGAGTACTACACCCTGTCGGGGAAGGGGACTTGGATGTCAAAGGAATCCTGTCTTCCATTCAACATTCTGAAGCTCCATGAACACCACGTCTAGAGTCATCTGATGAGAGTCCAGCTGAACATTGTCAGAGCAGTGGTGCACAGCAACCAGGGAACCAGAAGTTAGGCTGCTGAAAAAGTCAAAAATATTTTAGTTTGGGCAGAACTCCATGTTCTAGCCGTGTCTGCCATTCACATACCAGCCATGGACAATTGACAGGCAGATTAACTCAGTCAGCAACTGGTTCCTTAAACATGGAAGTGTGACTGGACCTGTTACAGGTTGGAAATGCCAGATGTGGATCTTCTGGCCTTCAGATTTAACAACAAACTGGACAGGTTTGTCTGCTGGTACATAGATCGTCTGGCAGGAGCAGTGGATGCTCTGGTGACCCCATGGGAGCAGCAAAGCCTGAGCTACGCCTTTCCTCCTCTGAAATCCCTTCTTCATCACCTCTGCAGATGGAGGGAATTTCAGCGTTCCTCATCGCTTTAAACTGGCCCAGGCAGATGTGATACTCTGATGATAAATATGCACAGTGCTTAAAGTGCCAACTACAAATCACCAATATCTCTTAAAAGGGATTTTAACAACAATTATGTTTAAAGATAGGTAATATATGTTCAATAAGATGCACTTAAAAAAGTATTACACCTTCAACTATTATTTAATATTTCCCTCTGGATCAATGTAATAGCAGCACTGTCAATATGTTTTTTCTAATTTTGATTTTAAACAAATGTTTTCCCTTTTTTTTTTTTAGATTACCGTCGCAGTATCAGTTTCTACTTGGTCTCTGCGCCAAACGTCCAATTGGGGAGCGCTCACTGTTACATCACACATGCAGGAGTGGAAACCAGCTGTCAATCTAAAAGTTGGCGGGCGGGGCAGGGCTGCAGTTCATAGGTAAAGCTATCTGTGTCTGTTCCAGCTCTTTGTATACACAGCATAGTCTTGGAAGTGTTCCCCTAAAGATGGCTCCAGGGAGACCCCGTACACAGGAAGACCTTCTACTTATCACCTAGCAGAGCAAGGGACCTGATGGTAAATCAGTCAAATAGATAGCCCCACCACACTCCTGAATGAGAAGCCCCATATATTGTGGGGAGGGGTGCTGAAGTTGCCGCGGATGGCGTCGCCAAATATTTGCAAAACAGAATAAATGGTCGCCAGCACTCCCAAGTCCTCTTCAAAACAAAATCCTTTTCTTCATTCTAGCAGGTCATATCATCATGCGTGGCTGATGGTAGAATGACACAGCAGCAATTAGGAAAGATTGTAAATTATGCTTCTGCATTTTACCTAAAGGAGAACTCTGGGGAAAAAATCTTAACCCTCGCAGGGCTATCCCCATGCTGCAAGCGCTCGTTTCTGTCTAGGTTAAAAAAAACAGTTATACTCGCCTGATCCTCTGAGCCAGTTCAACTTTTAGGCCTCATTCATACCTATATGTTTTTGTGCGATTAGGGATTCCTGCATCAGGAACTTGTGATTTCATACAGCAGGAATCCCTAATCTGCTGTTTACAAGCGGTAGCTGTCACCCATTCAAGTTGATGATCGGGTGACAGCCGCTGCATTTAAATGCTAACATACCACCAGCTTTTTAAAGTGGACCTTTACCCATATCTTTAAAATAACAACGAAAACGCCCTTTGAAATGTTTAGTAATGACAATCTACAAACAGAGGATTCTACATAATTGCCGGCTGTTTATTCTTTGCATGCCTTATTTTCCTTTTGTCTTCTCACAGTGGCCATTTTTTTTTTTACTAAGGGCAGATTAATATATCTCCTTTTACTTCCTGGAACTCGGGGACATGTGACTAGGACATGATTTGGTCTTTTTTACAACCCAAGTCTGGGTAAAACATGATTTTTCGTTTTGGGTAGATTAGGGAAGGGTTAAAATATATCTCTTCTTTGCTGTCAGTTGGGCAGGAAATAAGGAGAATCTCTCCAGCAGTGATCCATTTTATAATAGTTGATTAAAACAAAGAAAAATATAACACATGGCAATCCTTTACATAGATTTTCTTGAGGTTTTAAACAGAAAGTACAGAGTTATTACAGGAGGTCATTTAGCACAGTGGTTCTCAACCTGTGTAACCTCAGGACCCACATTTGTCCATGGTCATTAACTCGCGACCCAAATCGCACTGCAATGGACCGCGCGGCATTGCGGTACTGTGCGTTCCGGTGCGGGTGATTGAACTGTGAGTGGGAGGTGTGTTTGGGGTACCATTCAAATGAATATCAATGCAACATACCTCCCACACCAGAATGCATAGTAGGTGTGATTGCGTGTTACAGTGCATTGTTCTGGCACAGGCACCTCTACAGGACACATGAGAGAGCTGTAAGCAATGCATATATGGATGGAGCTCCCATGCCGCCATAGCCCACCTCAAGCTAACACACGATGCTGGGCAGCATATTCTGAATGGCTGCTTGGCATGAGAACTGATGGTGCTGCACTAGGGAAGGCTGAGGAGCCTCTCACCTAGAAAAGGGGAAGGCATGCGGTGACCCACTGAACATGAAGTCTCGACCCACCAGTTGAGAACCAAGGATTTAACATACATTGTATAGCCTGAAATTGACATCAACAATGTTGTGTAGGAATATTCATAAGGTAATAAATCATTAATTTAAAAAATATGTTTTTGTTATGTTATTTTAGGTTGGAATCTGCTTATATTGAATCCAGGGCATTCCTAGAATAGCAAAATATTTGGCTTTGTTGATGTTGTATTCTAAATAAAAAAAATACATTAATACATATATAATAATAATATATATTAATAAATAGATTTTAAAAGAAGAG